ATAATCATCAGATCATGAGTTTACCTACACGAGATCCACTCATAATCCATTGCACTGGTGCATGCCAACACCAGGTGCCTCCTTGTTGTTTCATAGTAAGGCCGGCCATATATTGAAGTCCAGTGCACAAAATTTGGTAATTTGGATAGAGATGCGAGTCTGATTTTGCCTGGCATACACTCACTTTAAGGACCAAATATGTAGCTGATGTTTTTCCAAGTCTGATGCTATAGTAGGACAGGTGATAAATATCCAGTTAAAGGGGGTGCATTCCATCAGCCTCATCTCAGTCATCAACTGCACCTATGATTGGAGAGACTAGGTCATGCTACAGTCATCCATGACTTGGTAATATCCAGTATAGTTTACTGCAACATGCTCTATGTGGGACTGCCTTTGAAGGTTCTTTGGAGGCATCAACTGATACAGAAAGCAGGTGTGCACTTCCTTCTGAATCTGGATGCTGAAAATAACTAATTGATTCTGTACCACCTGCATGGTGAATGTGTTTTGAGGCCCATTTTTAAAGTGCTAGTTCATACTTTAAAACAATAAAATGATTGAACCAGCTATTTGAAGTCCTACCTACACTGAAGTCTTCTTCACATGCCTACTTATATGATCTGTGGTGGCCTCACCTTATGGATCACACACACAAAAACATATTCATGACACCCTCTGAGACTGTGATGAAAAAAGCCCTAAAGTCTTGGATGGTCTACATTTAATTAAATCTTGGATCATCTTTTATACCATGTCTTTGGGTTTTCCTCTTACTATTGTGATTATGTAGAATACTTTATGTTATTTTATAATTTACCACTTTAACTTCCTACTTGGTGAACTGCCTTGGGGAAACTTCATCTCTGAAGGTGGATGAGAAATTATTGTAATATGTAAGCAAATGAGTGGTGAAGCAGGGTGAATGCAACATCAAATTGATTTGTTCCTCAGCAGCTGATATTGGAAGCATATTATCTCTGATGTCAGATTAATGTATAGTCATATAGTTATCATGACTAAGAGCACAGATAGATAACTTTGTCTTTTATGAATGATTACCTGTTCCCTTGGGTGTGGTGGTGGTATAGGATTCAGTTACAATACATCTACTCTGAATTTTAGTCAAAACTTAAAAAGGGGTATTCGGGAACCTGAGCCAAATCCCACCTTGGATTAGCACCTTAGATAGTATCTTTACAGGACTGGGGCTTCTACTGGTTGTAAGTGTGCATCAGATGTATTGGCACACAGTCCCAACTGCATTGAGAACTTGTGACCTTATCCCATGGGAAGGAGGGAAGGGTGGGGGGGGAGTGGGGGAAAGTGTCCTTAATAGTGTAGATGCAACCTACCCCAGCAAGATCCATCTTCGGGGATGGGCAGCCATCCCATAATGTTTCCCGTTTTCCTCCATTTCCTGCTGTTGTCTTTTATCAGGAGTTGGAAGAACACCCACCTCCTGAAATCTGACTCGCATGCTGGTGAGATGGATTTCAGTACACAGTCACCAGAAGTGGCTGTGCATTGTAGGAAGACTTCTGTGGGACTCCGTTATGCCAGCATAAAAAGACAGTCAGGAAACGGGGGGAAATTAGGGTGTGATAAGATCTTTGGACTTCTCAACTGATTTCTACAGTGAGTTTCCACTCCTATTTCTTATCTGTCATAAATATTACTTGTTTTAATCATGGGCCAGCAAGAGATCATGACAACGAGATAGTTCTTTTCACTGTCACTATCACTTATGTGTGTTCCTCCCCTGCTTTTGCAGAGTATATTTTTCTCTGAAGAGTACTAGCAGTATATGGCTTTCATGGCAATGTGGTGGTGAATTTGGTCCAAATTTCAGTATGAACTTTAAATGAGTTGTTTGAATTGCTGTATTCTAGCCCCAATCCACTCCAACCTCTTAGTGAAGAGGAAGAAAAGGGAGAAAAATTGAGCTTCGAGTCTCCCATTCTCCCATTCTCCTTAGACTTAACTTTCATTCATCTTTTTTCTCCTTGCCTAACAGCTGACCATGAAAAAATTTCCCCTCTCCCTTCTTTTCTCTCCCACCAGCTTATCAAGGGACACTCCCAGCAGAGTGAGAAGACGGGCAAAGAGGAAAATGTTGAGTGTTTGGAGTCAGTTAAACCCAGGGGCTCTACTTTCTGCCTTCCAGCCAAACACTTCTGCCCTTCTTCAGGACCCCAGTTTTCAATTCCTATCCCAGTTTTCTGGTTGACTCCCACGTTAGTCCTTGATTTAAAAACATTTCTAGTCAAATTACAACAAAATTAACGTTTTAAAAATGATTCCAAAGAAAATGTTTATTTACAGGACATTTATTTATGTCATATTTATGTCTTTATATACAGAAAGACTTCTCAATATACAGGTATACCTCAGTTAACAAAATAGATGTGTTCTTAAGTATTACCTCTTTAACAAAACATTTGGCACCAGAGACACAAATAACATGGAAAGAACAGGGATAGGTTCCTGCAGCACAAAAAGCAAAACAAAACAAAAACAGCAGTTCCCAATATTTCAACAAAGGTTTTGTCCAAAACGAATGATATATACACATGTAAACCTAACTATCTAGACCAAGTAAGCCTTGCATAAATAAACAAATATATTTCAAACCTTAAGAGACTACAGTGGGGATTGGATCTCCTGTGGATACCAAAATCCATGGATGCTCAAGTCCTATTCAATGATGCAGTAAAGTGGTGTCCCTTATATAAAATGGCAAATTCACAATCTGCTTTTTGGAAAATTTTGGAACATTTTCAAGCTGTGGATGGTTGAGTCTATGGATACGGAAGGCCAACTGTGCTTGTAGATCCAGAGATAAATTGTGAGAAACCCCTTTCTTATGATTTCTATATTGATGGCCAAGCTTATAAATCTATGCTTTTAAAACATGCTGGAAAAGTGGCTTGTAGGAAATATACACAATACCAGAAGTATACATGACATGTATTAAAAAACTAGGAAACAATGTTTTACTCACATTGAAGGTTATCAGCATTTTCAGGACATTTTTGTGATCTCCAAGCTTTTCTTGTCTCTTCACATCTTACATTTTTAAAACATATTTTGTCCCTTTGTGCCCACAAATGCATGCATGCATATTATGAAGGGTTTTTAGAGTAGTACATTTATTTTTGCAATCCACCCCTTACAGCCTTCTCATAAAGCACCTCAAATCTGCTACCACTCTTGGAACTCAAAACTAAAACTGAGCTCTGATTATGACCTTCAGAGGATGTAGTGGCTGTGCATGACATCATGTTTCTCTCAGTGGGGTGAGAATTGGACACTTCTGACCAGAGATGGCCCTAGGTAATTTTCACCGGTAAGCAAACAGTATTTTGCCCCCCCCCCCAACCAATCACTGATATATATTTTCTGTTCATCGTGGGTGTTCTGTGTGCCATGTTTGGTTCAATTCCATCATTGGTGGAGTTCAGAATGCTCTTTAATTGTAGGTGAACTATACATCCCAGTAACTACAATATGTCTATACATCCCAGTAACTCGCATATGTCAAGGTCTATTTTCCCCCAAGAGCACCTCAAGAGCGCCCCTGGGCAAAATCAACTATACTGCAAATGCTTACTTTGCTTAATGGTTTGAGCCGCCCCTGCTTCTGACTTATAGGATGTAGTTTATTTGATTTCATGGCCCAAACATTCATTACTCTTCAGAAACAATTTTTTAGAGCTGTATCTGGCCAAAGATAAAGGGGATCAGCATTATATTTGTGCTGATTGTTTGACTATAATATTTCTTTTTTGGAAACCCATCAGCGACCAGCAGACAATTCTCATGCACTGGTGCTGGTCAATGGACCTCCCACTGAGTATACTGGACTAAAGTGTTCACTTATAGAGCTATAACTAGCAGAGTAGCATATGATGACGAAGTGATATGAAGCCAGCAAAACAGAGACAAAGAACTTTTGGGAGATAAGCTGAATTTGTCTCACCATCTATCTCCATCCATCATGGAGGAAATACAAATTGGAGTCTATGGCATTCCATTCCATAGCCTCTCTCCCCCAACCCTATTCCGTGGGGAAATGGTGGGAAAGAAGGGGATAAACATTACTTGTCCCTTTCTGGTTGGGAAAGGGAAAGGAGAAACAAAGATAGTTTATGATGTAGTTGTCTAGTGCCATCTTTCTCAAGAAAAAAGGCATGGGGTGAAGGAGGCTGGCACAGCTGGAAACCAGTACTTCAAGGCACTTGAAGTGGCAGTTCTGGATGTCCCAGTTATCCCATTGGAAAAGGAGAAGTGTTAATGTAGCTGCACTGCCTCTTAGCCGTTTAGCTGCACTATATAAAGCAGTTTGATCCCACTTTTGCTAACATGGTTCCATCCTAACGAAAGCTGGGACATGTGGTTTAGTGAGATACTTTGCAGAAAAGGATTAATACTCAATACCATAGAATACCAAACCAATAAATCCCAGGATCTCATGGAATGGAGCCACAGCTGTCAAATTCACATACAGACACACTTAGATTCTGGTTAAATTCAGTATTTAGTTAAGATATGGAGTCTAGCCAATATATCTGTATATGAGAATTGCTGCTTTCCCACTCCTGTCTGCTTGCATTCAGTATAGGTATGGGATGAGGATGCGTATCTGTGCATATAAATTACCTCTTTGTCTTTCCCTCTCTGTGGAATGTTTTGCATCTGGGTTAGCTTTTCAATGGGATGCATACCAGTCGGGCATTCTATTCTAGTACCAATGTGGTGCTCACATTGAATGTGGTACTCACACTCCACTCCTCCAGGAAACACATTATGAAGAGATACTGAAGTCCAAAACAGGAAAGAGAGGAAGAGGGATGGAGGAGAATAGGAGCTTACAGCAGCTGAGCTTTAAAAGGCATTAAGCTGTTGAACATCAGATAAACCTTTTTGTTTCAAGTGCCACAATGAAGCTATTGAAGATGAATTCAACATGTGTATACATCACTAAAATGAGCCCCAGATGCTTACCTCCATTATGGCTTTTACAAGACCAGAAATATTAGGAGAAACACAACAAATCTTCACTCCCTGATTTGATTTTGACCATAGGAACAATAACTTGGCTCCAAGCCTCTACTGGTGCAGTCAGTGATGTCTGTATTGCAGGTGTCGCAATGGCATCCGGTAGCCACTGGGTAGGAATAAAGCGATTCTGTGTGTCCAGCACAGCCTGGGATCTTTATAGTCTCATACACAATTGACTTGAATGTGCAGACTTTCTGGACATTTTTTATTAACGGGTGCTTGTCATTGAGATCCTAATAAGGACAACAAAAGAGGGGGAAAACAACAACATTGAATCCATTTTCCAACAGGGGTGTTAGAACACTCTTTTTGTGATAACTTTTCTATATTTTAAAAACTGGATCAAAACTTAAAGTGTTTCATCATTTTCTCTCATGATTCCTGTGAACTTTGAACAATTAGTTAAATGAAAATCAATTCCCATATTACAGCTGGTCATATTGAAAACCTTTATTACAAGACAAGTTGCTCCAGGTCTGTATTCCATGACATTGCTTCACACATTTATCCATAGCAAAAAATAATAAAATAAAATAAAGGTAGCTGCAGGAACTGTAATGATTTTAAGATAGCATTATGAGTACCGTGATTTCCTGTAGCAATTATGAGTACCATGACTATGGGTGTACAACACAATGGAATACACAGCACTTACATATCTGTAAGTCTGGATTATAAATCTATAATTGCAATAAAACAATATGTTGTTGCAACCTCTGTCCCCCTACAGTATTTTATGCAATCTTCCCAATGTATTTTGTTTTTTAAAAGTCCCCCCCTTTTTTTTTTGCTATTAGTCCTGCTGATAAAAAGTGCTGCTATTTTCACTCTTGAACATGGGGAATGACAATTTTTGACAGGTCTTAATATGTTGAGGTTCACTTTCTTATGAAGGAGAAGAAAATTGTTGCCTATTCTTAAAGACCAAGAAGAGCACTGGACGTATTCTTTTCAGTTGGCATCACTGACAAACTCAACTGTTAATTTTGTATTTTTCTGGATCTCAGGTTTTGGACCTGAGATGACTTAACACTTCTCTATCATTATTATTGTATTGGAATCTCACCATTGTCAAACAATAGCCGGAACACCAAGTCGCATTCACGCGGATGCAGAAGCCACACTCTTCCTTCTCCACCACAATTGTGATATTAGAGAGTTCACAGTGATTACAATAAATAGTCTTCCAACAAAGTAACAGAGCACACAAATTAAGTGTCTTCATCCTATAGTGCAAACAAAGGGATTCAGAGAGTGGTTTAAAGTTCTACATATCTCAAGAAACAAACATTAGTATTCTTTGAATGCTGATAAAAGATTCACATTTGAACAGAAATGATGGGCGTGCACACACATACACACAAATAAATAAATAGAGCTCTAGGGTTATTGTTAGAAGATAAGAGATTTGTTCATTGAATGTGTATATTAAAATCATCCAAATATTTCTATGAGGTAAATGAGATTTCTATTACTCCAACAAATAATCTCCTTTATGTTCTAAGGGGGAAAGGAAAATTGAATAAACACATTAAAAGAAAAAAGCAAAAGGCCTCCTCTCTAGGCTCAGTTTTAAAATGGAACTTTTGTATGTAAAGTCTTACAAATATTTTGCCAATTTCAAAAAAGTCTTAATTAAGAATTCAAAAAACAAACAAAAAGGTTACCTGTATCAGAGGTGCTGTGCCGGAATTAGTTGTCCAGAGAGGGAAGCCTCACATTGTCCTTTTATACAAAGTCAGGTGTAACTTACACCTGGAGGATTTGGAGGGTATTAAAGCAACTGACATTCGCTTCAGTCCCAAACAAGAGAAGGGGGGGGGGGGAACACTGCTTTAATACTTAGCCAGACGCAGAGATGAAACCTTGTGTCATCTTTTATATTGCCTATTACATTTTTAATCAAAAGAAATTAACTTGTAGCTTGAGTAAATGTATTGTAATAGGTATTTAAACCTTATATGCTTTTCATTTTATTTAAAATTAAGAATGGTCAAGATTTTATTTTGAATACTCCTTTTTAGAATGACATAAATATACATCAGTGTACATGTGTTGGACTCCCCAGCAATGTAGCCAATTGTGTGCTGGGCGTCATGGGCTCAGGATGATCCATTAGTGCTCTATTGCCACAAATGCTTTCCCCTTTGTGGGAACATACCAGAGAGGGGGACTGCAGGAAAAAGCACAAGTTCACAATGCAGAGAAAAGACACGTATTAGGAGTTACATCTAGACATACAAGCTCTATGCCATCAAGCAAATGAATAATACAAGATATAGAAGAGAAACCATAAAATAATGCAATTTAGTGATGAGAATAACATAGCAGAAAATGATATTGAACTGATGAAGATAAATTGTTGGATGATAAAGGCCACAGCTTTTGTTAGTTACAATTGCAGAGACAGTTGGTGCCATGCACCAACCTACAAAACCCTATACGGCTCCGGCCCAGCATACCTGTCTGAACGCATCTCCCTCTACGTCCCACCTCGGAGGTTGAGATCTTCTGGGGAGGCCCTGCTCTCGACCCCACCTCTATCACAAGTGAGATTGGTGGGGACGAGGAGCAGGGCCTTCTCGGTGGTGGCCCATCACCTGTGGAATTCACTCCTCGGGGAAATTAGGTCATCGACATCCCTCCTCTCTTTCAGCAGGAAATTAAAAACATGGTTGTGGGACCAGGCTTTCGGGCAATCTGGCGGTTAGTTAGGACAATGACGACCAGAATTGATAGTACTTGACAATGTGGAATGAATTTACGGACTCTGAGATGGCGAACACTGAGCATTAGATTGTTTTTATTGTTTTTATTGATTTTGATGTATAAACTGACTGTCTTAATTGTTATACTTGCTGTTTACATGTTTTATCCATTGTTATGTTTATGCTGGCATCGAATTGTGCCTTTGTAAGCCGCCTGAGTTCCCCCTCAGGGGTTGAAAAGGGCGGGGTAGAAATGCACGAAATAAATAAATGCATGGGTCTGGATCTGGATATCGACCACCCTGAATGTTGAGTGATGAACTGATGCAGGGCAACTGCTGGTTCCGCACAGGATGACTGGGATGATGTTTGGGGTGGGGTGGGGGGGAATTAATGTTTGAAGGTAAATGCTAGGGCTGTGCAAAAATTTGGATGCAGGTCACAAGTCATAAAAGTTTCAGAAAACTCATATTTATGACCCAATTTACGAAGCCTGTGCAACCCCCCCCCCCCCCAATAAATTAAACAGCCATTTATGGAGCTTTTCTAATAAGTTCATTACTCTTCGTAAGTCGTAGTGAGTTAGCTTCTTGTTCAGTGCAAGCAAACTCTACTGGGTGGCGCAGGCAGACCTGGTATGTCACATACTCTCTTCAGCCTATCAGGGCCAAAGGATTGGAGAAGGGAGGAAGCAATCCTGGTGTTTCCTTTAAATACAGGAGCCCCATTGCCTGTGTCACCATTGCAGGTGAGCTGGGAGAGAGTTGGGAGGGAGCTCAAGGGTAACAACTAGCTAGGAGTGGAATTTGTCCATTCTTGAAGGCTTTGTCTGCACTATGCAAGCTTAGTTTGCCTCAGTTTAGGATTCCTTTTAATATCCTTTTTCTTTGTGTGTATGTGTGTTGGGGGGTGAGCGTATTTCCGCTTAAGATTCATTTTGGAGGATTTCCCATTTTCCCCCTTTGAATTTTCTTTCTGTTAGTTTTAAAAGTATAATTCTGCAAACTGCAGTGTGTGCTTTATTTTCTAAAATCCCAACTTGCCGGGGGGGGGGGGGGGGGGGGGGGGGGGGTTGTTGCTTTTCTGGTGATGCAGGGCCATATTAATATAAACAACAAACAAACATACTTTTCTGGGTGAAACCTTAAGCATTCCCTAAAATCAGTAGATATGCAAATCGTTCTGAAACTTTGGGGAACTGATGCCCTGGTTAGGTTGTGTCATTGTAGAGAAATTCAAGGAGATAGATCTTGTATTTTATTTAAATATTGTTCATAAAAACATTTCAAATATTTCCTTAAAATCAGTGGATGAGTGAAACTTGGGGGGGGGGGGCTAAAATGGTAAATGTGTGCTACAGTTGTAGCAAGTTTCATCCTGATAGCCTTGAAATGAGGGTGTAAGAAGCCCTGGAAGTGTCCCCATTGACATCAATAGGCAAATAGTAAAATGAAAAACTAACAAAATTTTTGGAATTTCGTATTAGATATGATATGAACACCTTACATATTTTTCAAAACACTTTAGAAACATGGGGGGGGGCACTCTAAGTACAAATGAAGCAGGTTTTTGGCACCATGCACATCTCTACCCAGTGCTATCTGTTGCCCTCAATGCACACATCTTGAAGGGGGGGGGGGGTGCTATGGGAGTGTCTGGGTATGTCTGCTATACCTGAATGCTTCCTATTCCTGCAACCCATACCTCTAACAATGGGCAAGTTGTTCCAAATCCCAGATCCAGAACCCATGCCAACTGCTAAAAGGCAGGCAAGGTCTTCCTTTTACCAGTCTCAATGAAGCTGCAATGAAACTGGCTGCTGCCTTGAAAACTTCCACATGTAGCCATCAGTTGAAGAGTTGGTCAGAGTGTGCCCCAGTTTTTAGTAAGAGCTTTAAAGGTTTTCTTCAAGATGCTAACTAAATCTATTTTGAAGTTATGAACTGAAACCTGGGATGGTTCCAGTAAAAGCTGGACTAAAAGAGTTGAACCATTTCCCCACAAACATGGAAGCCATGATCTGCCCTTGGCTATGGCTCTTCCTCTGTTGAAACAGTCGGTTCTTTTAGAAGGTGAATGATAACAAGCAAAGCAAAACAATCCATGTGCCTGTTATAACTTATTGTCACCAGTCAGAATCTGTCAGGTGGAGACATATTCACATTTATCTTAATAACAATACTCTGAAAACATTCTTTTGAAAACATTTCAGAATGATTCAGTAATCTATGAGCATGTAAGCTGAAGTAGTTCTTAAGCCATATAATTGTATTTACCTCCAGCTGACATGATCATGTGTCATCTAAAGTTATTTCATTTCACAGACCTTCCAAACGAGCGATGTAAAGACCATTAATTTCAACATTCCCCTAATGTGCATAGAAGAAACATCATTGTAAAGGAAAATATGCATTATTTTCTGTTTCTGAACACACATATTTCCCTGTTTCATAGGGCTACATTTAATTCGTCTCTATATTAGGCCATCCATCCAAACAATACACTGGCCTTTTAATAAAATAATAAAAGAGAAAGAATGTTGGGTCAGATTATTGATGACTTTCCATCTCACAAATATAAATTGTTAATCTTTTGTCAGAGCCCCTTCCTTCTGTCAGGTATTATCTGGACATTTTTATTTTATCTTTTAAAATTAAAGGGGGAATTTATCAGCGAAACATCCAGATACATTGTAGATTAGGGATGGCCTTAGCATTTGGACCATTTTTTTTACTGATCTTGTAGCTATTGCTAAGTAGATATTCTTGATATAACAGTTTAAAATGTATTTTCATGTATGTTTTTATTTTCTGTATTATGGTCTTGAGTTACAACACCAAATGCACTTATTTTTTAAAAAAATACTGATTTTAGCTATTTTTGTATAGTGAGAATGCAAAGAGTAACTTAAAAATCATAGTGGTAGCTAACCACTGTAAGAGGGCTTAGAACTATAATGGTAATCCCTTCCTTTTCAAAAGTAACATTCCTTGCTCTGCTAATTGTTAACAAAGGGTAGCCAAAATTAATAACAACTTTATTGCTGTTATGCATCTTCAAGTCATTTCTGACTTATGGTAACCCAAAGGAAAATCTATCACAGGGTTTTCCTGTTCAGAGTGGGTTTTCCATTGCTTTCCTCTGAGGCTGATAGGGTGTGATTTAACTATAGTGAGCCAGTGGGATTACATGGCTAAGTGTCGGACTGGATGAGAGCTAACAAATTGAAATTAAATCCAGACAAGACAGAGGTCCTACTGGTCAGTCGTAAGGCCGAACAGGGTATAGGGTTACAGCTGTACTGGATGGGGTTACACTCCCCCTGAAGTCGCAGGTTCGCAGCTTGGGAGTGATCCTGGATTCACCACTGAGCCTGGAACCCCAGGTCTCGGCGGTGGCCGGGAGAGCTTTTGCGCAATTAAAACTTGTGCACCAGTTGCGCCCGTACCTTGGGAAGTCTGATCTGGCCACGGTGGTCCACGCTCTTGTTACATCCCGAATAGACTACTGCAACGCT